AACAGCGTAGGCCAATTATTGCTTAATTGTAAGTGACGAAATCCCCGCCCCTCCCCCCCCCCCCCCCCCCCCAAAAAAAAAAAATCAATGGTTGTGTCACCAAGTATACATATGGGTACACAAACATCATATTCATGTGGCAATTAGATGGACTAACGTCACTCAAAATACACTTTTTCATGACTTTTGAAACCATTTGGTCTCTCATTTACCTTTCTCCACTCTTTTTAAATGGATACGATCATTAACTCGCTAATGTGACCGTATGTACTTTATGTCACTCAACCGTTGGTCACACATGTAGTGAAAGCGAATGTGTGGTTGTATGCATATAATCACTCATTTGTCGTGTGATGGAAGCCCATTTTTGTACTAGTATTTTAAACTAGTTTTTGACTTCATTAAGATGAATGTGAAGCCACTTTAATGAAATTGAATTCAAATTGAGAAAGATGTGAAGAGCAGAGTACGGGTGAAATGGAGAATGATATGAAGAATAAAGTAATGATCACTTAAACGAGCTCTGATACCATGTTTGAGTTTGGTGAAATGAACATAAAGATGAAAGATTTTTCAAGATTTCATTGTATTGAATTCATTTAATTACAACTTCTAGTGAAAATGATGATCACCTAATCTCCTGCAACTTTTATTCAAAATGGCACCACTTCCGTCTCCCACTGACAACTTGTTAATCCACGCTCATGGTCACTATGATGGAAGCAGTTCTTTTCTTCAACATGGCTCCACTTCCGTCTCCCACCAATAGCTTGTTAATCAACGATCACAACCACTGCGATGGAAGCAGTTCATATGGTGTCTGATAGGAAGCTCTTACCATTAGCTTACTTCAAACTCAACTGGAAATGGCAATCATCCGGGATGAGCTTGCTACATACATGGTTCAGTTTCAGGAGAGTGTGAAAAGATAGTTGAATGCTCTAAACATGCAGGGTGGACAAAATTAGAGTTGGACAAATCGACTTGCTCAACATGGTGGGTGATCTGAGAATCATTTATACTCTCTTTAGGTAGGTTATGAGAAGTGTGATGTGAAGAAGCGTAACTAGTTGGTGAGTTTTTTAATTGTGGGTGCTTTGGGGATTGAAACCTACAAGTAACTCAACTGATGGAAGGTTACACGATTTCATTCCTAGGTTTGTAATTTTGCTAATGTAAAATACCCATGTTCTTAGTTGTTCTACGGGCAGGTGTTTTGAGGGGCATGTTAGCTTTTTTGGGGGGAAATGACGTTACTGGTAATATATATTATCCTTTAAGCTTGTATGTTTGTTATCTTATGTAACCACATGGATGGAACTATAAATGAAACAAACCCAGAAGTAATGAAATCCTAACGTTTATGCTTAACTATTTGTGTTTTTATGTTGTTTTTGCATGAAAGCCAAAACAAATCATATAACATCTGCATAAGAAAAGACCTACGTATTATGCATTTAGCAGTTGGAACTTGGACCACATGCCAAAAATAGTGGGACAAATACTATCTTTTTTATATGGGACAAAATAGAACATTCACACATATGGATGCACTTAAAGGGGACAAAACAGATCATGCCTAAGTCCTTATATTACCATTTCTTTTGTTTAGTGGGGTCCATTTGTGATGCAACACTACATGTACAAAAATAGCAATCTGCCACATTTTTAACACCAAATAGAAATTTTCCAAAATTTTTTAATTGTCACAATAACACTTACCTCTTAAATACCAAAACTGCCCCTTATACCTAAAATGCCTCTTTCATTACCAAAATTTCCCCTAGGTCCTATATTAAATACCAAAACTGCCCCTGATACCAAAAGTACCTCTTACATTACCAAAACTACCCCTAGGTACTACGTTAAATACCATAACTACCCCTTATACCAAAAATACCTCTTACATTACCAAAATTGCCCTTAGGTCCTACATTAAATACCAAAACTGCACCTTACCCTTATACTACACCTTACCCTTATACCAAAAAATTTCGTTTACTTATACATCTTAAATGAACCAAATGAGTGTTGCACTCTCGTATATCGAAATTGCCCCTAGGTTATGTATAAATCACGGATATGTTAACATTACAAAACCAAAAATTCAAATAATAAACATGATGGTAACATTCACATTTTAGGCATTTCCCTTTTTGCCCTCAAACTTAAAATGTTATGCATTTGGGTCCCTAACCCGTACACTGGGCGTATGCTGGGTGTACGCTAGGCGCACTGAGTCGAAAAGCTAGTCGCGGAGGCATCCACGTATGTTGGACGTACAACTACCTGGGACAAAACCTAATTTTTAGGGTTTGAGCCCTATTTAAACACCTTAAGTTGCTCATGGACCTTTTTATGACCAGCCTCCACCTCTCCAAACCATGAGATCGAAACCCTAATTGCCATTTGAGTATTTTGAGCTTGGAAGTGACCTTTGAGGGTGTTTTTGGTGATCTTGAAGGAAGATCTCTTGGAAGTTGCATTAGTGTAGGATCCTGAACCATCCTAACTTGCAAAGATTTTGGAGGTATAAAGCTCTTAACTTGATGGTTCCTTATAATAGATCTAATTTAGGGCTTGATTTTGTGCATTTTAGAGTCCCTTAAGTCAAGCTTGAGAGTATGAGCCACTCCAGAAGCTAGGAATGGTAGATCTTAGCATTTTTGATGTTTTTTGTGCATAAAAATTGTATCTTAATGTGTTATTTTGGACCATGCATGAGTTAGGTCTCTTATTATGGGCCTTAATGGTCAAAAACAAGTATTGGGTCCCATTAAGTCATGCAAAACTATAAGTTACAAACTTTATGTGTTAAGACCTTAATATGATGTAGATATGAGGTTTAGACGTTAAGGTCTTAAGGGATTAAGAACCTTGATTAGCCTTTGGGAATTTGGCCAGTATACCAGGCGTACTCCTTAGTACGTTGTGTGTACTGATTCAGCTGCCCGCTTCCTGGTCAACATAGAGTATGTGGGACGTACGCCAAGGAATGAGCTTTTATTTGTTTTGGTCCCTTTTTGGACTTGGATTTCTTTTGAGCTTTAGGCCTTAGCTGGATTTTGGGATTTGTATCTTTTGGGCATAGTTGGACCTTAGGTTTATGGGTTGGGCCATTTGTAAACCTTGGGACACTATAGGGTTATTAGGCCAAGCTAGTTGGACCAAGTAAGGAAAAAGGTAAAATAGTATTTTTCCCTAGAGGTTGTGGATGATGAGTTGGGACCCCGGTTTTGGTTTATGAACTAATTATTAATTAGGGTATTGTTTTATGATATGTAGTGTGGAGATTTCCCATACTAGAAGTCCGAGCATTTATCTGATTTTTTAGTAGTTTGCGGTGAGTTTCCACCTAGTGCTTAGCGAGTCGAAGGCACCAATGTTGACCCATGGATTATGATTATCTATATGCTAGTTGTCAATGTGACCTTGCATGTGTGTATATATTGTATGTATGACCAGCAGGGCCTGAAGCCAGGCGGAGCCTGATGAATGAGTTGGGTGGGGCCCATCACATGATACATACATATCTATTAGAAAAATAGCCTTTTACGACGTGCAATGCGTGTCGTAAAACGCTCAGACGATGCGCAAATGCGTGTCAAGAAAGGCCATGTCATAACGAGAGACGACATGCTTTTGTGCGTCACCTATAGACGATGTGCATTTATAACGCGCATTTACGACACACGATTTACGACGTGCATTTACGACACGCAATGCGTATCAAGGAAGACCCTATCATAAAGGAAGACGACAAGCATTTGCGTGTCGTAACCTAACGACACACATTTACGACTCGCATTGCGTATCATTAAAGCCCATGTCAAGAAAGGCCATGTCATAAATAAAGATGACACACATTTTTGCGTATCGTAAGTTATATGTTTAAAAAAATATTATTTATAGATTACTAATTTTCAAATTAAATTTGCATTTAATGTCTCATAATAAATAAAATACCATATATAAAAATACAATCCATTGCATAAAATTTAATGTCATACAAATAATCGTTCCATGGAAAGATAAAACAAATCAATAAAAGTTGTAACGGAAATTTACAAACTAATTAGATACAAGAAATATGAAAAACTTGAAATCCCTAAGATTAATAGTTCTAACAGAAGCTTCATGTGAGATACATACAGTTGGACCAGTAAGCAAGGATCCACAATAGCAGCACAAGAACACGTACACGATATCTTCTGCAAGAAGGTGTCAATCCAAAACTACTGTTGAAGGTTGCCATGATAGCTGTTAAGATTTAAGCATAACAAGAAACCAATCAGTGACTATAATAAGCTAGAAAACAAGCAACTAATGAACAAAATAAGCAACTAATTAAGTCAAACTATGACTATGTATTGTTCATACAAGAAACAAAAGGAAAAAAATGTTGATTTATTGTTGTTTATACAACACTCTCTAGACAACACTTAATTGAAGAAAAGAATAAGGCTAAACTTACAAGAAAAATAAGGAAAAAATAGTTTTGAGTGTAAATTTCAAGATAAAGTCACTTGCACCCCAGTATAAATTTCAACAAACAGCTTTTGAATGACAAAGATCAGGTACCTCTTGATTAGCACGTGCATGGTCTCACAATTGAAATAATAACAAATTCAGTGCTCCACCCATAAACACCAACAACTTGAACATTTTTCAGTTGCAACTCTACCCCCCTGAAAATAATGTATTAAAACGACTATTAATTTATGTTGGATAAGAATAAAGTTGAAGTTCACCCCATTTAATGAAAGAATATGCATACAAATTGGCAGCAAACAAGTAAATAAATGAAGAAAGTTACCTTCCATTGAGTTTAGAGAGGGATGTAATATATGTTACCCCAAATCTCAAGGTTTTATTGTAAAGGGTGACAAGCCCAGTGAAAAGACTGACAGCATAATCAGCAATCTCCTCTGTTTCATATTCTGAAAACGCAAAGCCTTTTGATTTATCAGTTTCTTTATCTCGAGGAATGTGAAAATCAACTACATGACCAGCTTGAATACACGTTTCACATAAAGCCGAATATTTCTTGTTTTGGGATTTACTACATCTTCATTGTTCATTGGAGCCATTCCAGGAATGTAAATCACACTTCTAAACTCTACTTCACCCTACAAAAATAAATATATAGATTTAAATTTAATAAATCAATCTAGAAAATGTAAGAAAAGGGTAGAACAAGTACCTCTATGGTGAAATGAGTGTATGCAAGAGGATCAAGAAACTCATTGAATGTCTTCTTGTAAAACTCACTGTATTGATCTTTTTCAATTTCTTTAGGATTCCTCATCTACATTTCAATTATATAATTAACAAATTGTTAAGCAAACAAGTGGCTCAAAATGTTTTAAAAAAAATCACTCTTTTAACTTACCCATATTAGTTTTGTCTCATTGGCCAATTCCCAATCCTATTATTTTTTAGTTTTTGTTTTCTTCTTCTTGTCACCCTGGAAAACAAGATTACTTTTTTATAAATAAATCATATAAAAGCAACAAAATTTCATTTAAGCTGAATTAGACACTTTAGTTTTTAGTTTTCACCTCTGATGATGTTTCTTCACCCTCTTTCGGTTCTTCCTCCTCTACCTGAAAACAAATTTCAAATCACATTTCATTAGCTACTTTTTCAGTTTGTGGGTCCCAAATCATAACACAAAAATAGTAGCTTTTTGAAAGATAACCATCTATAATTCCAACAATCATTATTCTGAGTAATAAGTATATAAATATACAAGTCCTTTAGAAAATCCTAAATTTAAGGTTAAAAGGAGGGTTAATATTGCAATTTTCCTTTGAGTGTATATTCATTCTTCTATTCTTGCATTTGGCCCTAGACCCCTAAATAAACAGACAATCAAAATGACAAATCATTTTTACCCAAACACTAAACTTAAAATCGTTCTTTTATGAAAATTAAGTAAAATAACATCAAAAAGCACACCATGCAAAACGAATCATAGCATATGATGACAAGTATGAAGTAGATAAATTTCTTTATTTCAAACATCAAGTCATCCGTTCAATTCCACACAAGCTTTTTTCACGGGAAAAAAAAATGCAAGGAAAGGACATATTTGCCCTTGAAACAAACTCAGGTGGAAACTGCTGCCACCAACGCCATATGCTCTATCAGGTCCAACACCCGATTACTGCATATAATCAGATAAACCCTAATCAGTCAAACGCAAACACAATACAACCTGTTCCATGTCTCGTTTTTTGTGTTTTGTGTAACAAACAATGAGAAAGAGACAAGATATGTTTTGACTAAAAAATATGGCTGAATGGAAACACAATACAACCTGCATATTGTTCAGCTTTCTTCTTGGTGAGACAGTTATCTCCAGTAAAAGAAGCATCATAAAAAAAAAAAAAAACCACAGAAGAATGAAAAATTGAAACTGATGAGCACACTAGAGTTGTCTGATAATGGAAACTTTTATCCTGAACATATATATAATGCCCCACAATGTAACGGGAAATTGTATACTCAAAAGCAAGAATCAGTGTATGCACAAACCTCAAGAACATGATGTAATGCTTCGAATTTTAGCTTTTGCATTATAGCAAAAAGTGTGACTTTAGAAGCATCTTCCTAAGCCAGCCAACATATATCTTCAGAATTAACACTAAAAATCCCAAACCACCCAATCTCAACAGCGATCTTCAGCTGCCACTCATAAGGCC